ATCAGTTCTGAGTCCTCTTCTGAATCAGTTCTGAGTCCTCTTCTGAATCAGTTCTGAGTCCTCTTCTGAATCAGTTCTGAGTCCTCTTCTGAATCTACCATGAGTTTCTGGCAGTTTGCTGTTTGATGTTTTGTTGCCTCCATTTTTAAATTATCTTCAGAAAAATTTTACTTGTATGTGATGTTAATGATATTGTTTGATGATTTCCACATTCTGTTCGGTCACTTCTCTTTAGAATGGGTATAAATCTGTGTCTCTTCCAATCAGTCTTCCAATTTTCTTGGCATAGATGAGTGAGTGCCTCTAGTGCTGCATCAGTTTGTTGGAAGATTTCAATTTGTATTCCATCAGTTCCCAGAGCCTTGTTTTCTTTGTTTTTTTGCCAATACCTTCAGTGCATCTTTAATTTTTTCCTTCAGTAACATTGGATATTGATGATATGCTACCTCTTAAAATGGTTAAACACCAACCATTTCTTTCTTTTTTTTTTTTTAATTTTTATTGTTAATTGAATAATAGTGTACTTGGGGGAACATCAGTTTTCCACCCATCCTACCATATTTCATTGCATTGCAATGATTACAGTCCCCTGCATGCATCATCATTGAACAGTATTTGTTACTATTCCCTCTGTTTTTTGGGTGTTTTTTTTTTTTGTTTTGTTTTCTTTTTTCCTGTATACCCAAATGCTCAGGAATATACAATCATTCAAACAACCAAAGGGAATACCCTGCAAGCCTGCCCCCCCATCCCCCGGCCACCAGCACACAGCCCCTCTCCTTCCATGAGCTGCTCTGTCTCTCCACGTCATCACCTCTGCCTCCATCTCTGGCATCACCGCTTCTCTGGGTAGGGTCCCACACGCCACTCCTGGTCTTCTCCCTTGCTGGTCCCAGGGTCCTTCACTCTGGAACTGTAAGATCAACCACTTGCCCCTTTTTGCTGTAAAACTTCTACCTTTAGAGTTGCAACAATCACAATTAGTCATGATAACAATTATACATTATTGAATCATAAGAGTCTTGTCCCCATCTCCTTTCACCAGACCCATTTAGACAGGATGAAAACCATTCAGTGGGGATTCTAACTTCCCCTTCACACTCTGACACTCTGAATCCAAACTTGCTCTCGAACACTTGTAAGCCAGTCACTTTGTGCCTTTATAGCCCCCCTCCCCCCATTTTAGGTAGCCAGTGTTGCCCATCCCTATCAACCCTGTGTACAAAGGGGACCACCATTTCTTTCTGGCACAGTGACTCTGTCTATATTTTCCATCTTCTTTTGATGCTTTCTACATTATTCAATATTTTGCCCATAGAATCCTTCAGTATTGCAAATCGAGGCTTGAATGTTTGTCTTCAGTTCTTTCAGCTTGAGAAATGCTGAGCGTGTTCTTCCCTTTTGGTTTTCTAACTCTAGGTCTCTGTAGATTTCATAATAATACTTGATTTTGACTTCTCAAGCTGCCCATTGACTTCCTCATTTTTCCCATTTGCTCTAACATCTCTGTACTGGAGAGCAAATGTCATAGTTTATTGTAATATCCACTTTAGCCTCTTCTTTCTTTCCTGCATTTTTAGTGGCATTTTGCTTTCTTCCTGTCTGATGTTCTTGATATCATCCCACAATTCTTATAGTCTTCAGTCATTAGTGTGTAATGGAACAAATCTGTTCTCAGGACGGTCTCTAAATTCAGGTGGGATATGTTCAGGTACATATTTTGGCTCTAATGGACTTACTTTCATTTTCTTCAGTTTCTGTCTGAACTTGCATATGGGAAATTGATGGTCTGTCTGTTCCACAATCGGTACCTGGCCTGGTTTTGGCTCATGATATTGTAATTTTGTACTGTTTCTTCCCCAAACTGACAGATGTAATCAGTTTGGTTCTTGTGTATTCCATCTGGTGAGTTCCATATGAATAGTTGGAATTTCTGTTGTTTAAGAACAGTATTTGCAATGAATAAATTATTGATCTTGCAAATTCTATTATATGATCTCTAATATCATTTTTATCACCAAGGCCATGTTTTCCAACTACTGAGCCTTCTTCTTTGTTCCCAACCTTTACATACCAATCATCAGTAATTATCAATACATCTTTATTGTGTGTTTCATGAATTTCAGATGAAAGAATTTAGTAGAATTCTTCAATTTCATCATCACTGGCTTTAGTGGTTGGTGTATAAATTTGAATAACAGTGGTAGATACTTGTCTTCCTTGTAGGTATATGTATATTATCCTATCACAAACAGCATTGTTCTTCAAAATAGATCTTGAATGTCCTTTTGATGATGAATGCTAATCCATTGCTCTTGAACTTTTCATTCCTATCGTAGTAAATCATATGGTTATCAGATTCAAAATGGCCAATGCCAGTCTATTTCTACTCACTAGTGCCTAGTATATTGATTTTTATGCATTCCACTTCTGTTACAACAAATTCTAATTTCTCTCTAAATTCACACCTTGTACAATCCACGTTCTGATTATTAATGGAAATTTGCATATGCTTTCTCCTCATTTTGAGTTGTGACCCATCAGCAAATAATGTCCGGAAACTTTTACTCCATTTACGTCATTATGGTCAGCTGTCATTATGATCAGCTCAAGTTAGAGAGCGCAGCTCTTCCCCAGTCATAGTTTGAGTTCCTTCCAACATGAGGTGCTCATCTTCTGACACTGTAGCTGACAGTGTTCTAGTGCTTTACAAAATGTTTTCATCTTCTGACACGCTATCTGATAGTGTCCTACTGCTATTCATAAGCTTTTCAGTGACTAAACATTCAGAAGTACTCTGCCTCTCTGCCTTCCTAGGTTTTCTTAGTCTGGAAGCTCTGCTGAAACCTGTTAACCATGGATGCCCTGCTGGTATTTCAATTACCAGAGGTACAGCTTCCAACATCACAGTGACACATAAACCACCATGGCATAACAAAGTGACAGTTGTCAGAAACTGTAGGAAGATGCAACCTCAGTGAGCTATCTCTACATATCTATCAAAATACCTAAAATAAAAAGCAAATGTTTTTATTAGTGACAACATCAAATGGTAGCAAGGATGTGGCAAAAGTGAACCACATCTTCATCACTGTTGATACTGTGAAATGGTACAGTTGCTCTGGAAAATAATTAATCAATTTCTTACAAAGCTATGCATGCAACTACCATACGACCCAGCAGTTGTAATCTTGGACATTGATCCCAGAAAAAATAAAAAATTTCTTCATTCAAAAACCTGTACACAAATGTTCATGGTAGCTGTTTTTGTAGCAGCCACAAACTGGAAACTGGTCATTTGTTCTTCAACTGGTTCTTCAACTGGTCAGTGGTTAAACAAACTGGTGTATCAAAATCGTGTAACACTACTGAGCATTAAGAAGGACTTGACTACTGATACACTCACCAGCTAAGGCAGCGTAGTGGTTGCACATTGAGTCACTTACAACAAGGTTAACAGTTTGGATCCACTAGCCACTCCATGAGGAAACCCGAGAATTCACACCCTGGGAAACCCTATACCGGATCGCTGTGCATCAGAACAGACTCACGGGCATAGTTGCCACCACCATCACACTTAGCAACATGGATGATGAGTCTTGAGGGAATCACACTGAGCGAACACAAGTCTATCCAAAAGATGGGTGCTGCGTGCCTCTCTTTAGTCACTAGTCTTGAAATTATAGGAATTAAATAAATGGTTGACAGGGCTTAGGAACAGGGGAGTGGCGGGTGGACCAATGAGAACGAGATGGATTTGGCTGTAAAAGAGAAATCTGATGGATCCTTTTGTTGATGGGAACACTGTGTGTCCTGACTGGTATCAGTGCCAATAGCTTGGTGATGGTGTATTATAGGTTTGAAAAAGGTTACCATTGGGGGAAAGTGGGTTAAAGGTACATGAGCCCGCTCTACATTATTATTTGAAAGTGAATTTAAAATGATCCCCAAATCAAAAGTTTCATTGAAAACTTGGCATTTTATTAAATAATTATCAAAAATTTAATTTATAGATTGTAATGGATAAAAATTGCCCAGTTACTAATATAGCGGCCGTTTCGATTTTTTTCTTAGATATGTTATTGACTACCTAATAATGAGGAAGATTGTTAAAATGATCAATTATTAGCTTAGATTAATTTGGGCAGAACTGTAAAAGAATGAGTTAATATAGCTACATTAATGGCCTGTTTGATTGCTAACAAACAAAACACAGACCTCCATGAAGGGAGGGAAGTTGGCCACATTCATTCCGGATCATGACAGAGTGCTGAGGGTTTCAAGTACTTGGTACTAAGGTAAAGCTGACTGTGTCCCCCTCTTCCTTCACAGGATCTGCTCTTCAGCGTGTGTGCCCTCAACATCCTCTCCACCATTGTGTGTGCCTTGGCGACAGCCATGTGCTGTATGCAGATGATCTCCTGTGATGTCCTGCAGATGGTGAGTCTCCCCACTCCATCCCAAGCTCATCCATCTGGCTCCTCCTGTAGCCGGTTTGAAACCAGTGTAACAGTGGACACTCCTGGCCTCTAGCCTAGGATGAGGTCACTAGGCCCCAAGCATCCGTGACATTGGGAGATTTTTGTGCTTTTCTCTGGAGGACAAATTGTGTCTATCTTTGATTCCATCTTTGATTCCATTGGATGATTACTTTAGTTGGTGCTGGACCTTCATTTAGTTGAATCCTGCTACCATCATCTCTCCCAAAATGGCCCCTGACACGTGATCCTGAGTCATGTTAGTCAAAATCCTACAGTCCTAAACCCCTTTGGGGCCTGCTACTTCCAGGGAAAAGCACATTCCTTCAATATCAGATTATCTTTAATAAAGGAAGTCTAGAGTTCTTAGAAGTAAAACTATAGGAAAATTGATGATGCCTTAATTATGTTGTTGGTGAAGAAGAGTGAAATGACCATGGATTATCTGGCTGGGAAGAAGTACAGCTAGCGTGTTCCTTAGGAACGAAGGATGGCAAGCCTTTCTCACTCATTCTTTGGACTTGTTAGGCGTGACCAGTCCCTGAAGGAGCTCTGGTACCATAGTGGTTATGAGTCAGGCTGCTAATCGCAAAGTCAGCAGTTTGAAACTCCCAGCTGTTCCATGGGAGAAAGAGGAGGCTTTCTGCTCCTGTGAAGGTTTTACAGCCTTGGAAACCTTATACAGAATCACTGTGAGTCAGCACTGACTCCATGGCACACAACCACCACCATCACCATGACTACCAGTCCTGAAGAAGTGGTAAAGTGGAGGGTCAGTGAAAGAGAGAAAGACCCCCAACAAGATGGAGTGACATAGTGGCGGCAACAATGGGCCAATCATACCAAAGATGAGACTGGCACAAGACAGGGCAGTGTTTTGTTCTGTTGTGCAGAGGATCACTATGAGTCAGAACATATTCAGTGGCACCTAGCGCTGGTGGTGATGTGCCATGGAGTCGGTTCTGACTCATAGCGACCCTGTTTAGGGTTCCTGAGGCTGGAAATCTTTACGAGAGCAGAAAGCCTCATCTTTCTCCCGTGGAACTGCTGGGAGTTTCGAACTGCTGACCTTGAGTTTAGCAGCCAGACGCAGAACCACTATGCTATAATGGCACCTAACAACAACAAAAAGTGTTGTTAGATGAGTCCCTGGGTGGTATAAACAGTTAACTCACTGGGCTGCTAACTGAAAGGTTGGTGGTTCAAGTCCACCCAGAGTCACCTTGGAAAGGAAAACCTGGTGTTCTACTTCCAAAAACGCAGTCAGTGAAAATCTTAGAGAGCTTAGTTCTCCTCTGACACACATGAGGTTATCATGACTCAACTTGATGACAACTGGTTTGAGCTTTTTGGTTAAGTGTTGTTAGAAGATGAACTATCAAACTGAAAAAAAAAAAATGTTAATCTGGAGTCTAGAAATCAGAACTGACTTACTGGCAATGCTAATTAATCCTCAGTTCAGAACCCAAGGGCAGGCCACAGGCCATCCTTTACCTTGTGGCCAAGATCTTATGGAAGAAGAAATCCACAGCTCCGAAAGAAGAAGAGTGATTAAGCCAGAAGGAGGTCACATGCCTACTGGTTCACATACTTAGTCATGCACACTTAAGGAATAATTAAGCCTGTTTGTTATTGAAATGTGAATGGGAACAAGCCCACTGTTGAGTAGGTGACCACCAAACTCAGTATAATAAACAGAAAATGATGGGAAGATGCCGGTCTTCCTAGTTCAGGGCTGGGATCCCTCTCTTGTCTCGCCCTGCCTCCTATCCACTATTTTATGCATCTTAGGAAAGACAGTGCAATTTATTCTTACAGTCAGATGTTGTATTTTTACTTCTTTCTTGTCTACTCCATCATACTACATCAGTTAGTTAATCGACATACAGGGCTGAAGAATATCATTACCAAGATGTTACAGATTCCTTGGCTCTGATCAGCCGTAGCACAAAGCCTCACTCACCCGGTGCTGAGCCATGCAGCTGTCACAACAGCTGACCTTCCCAAGAGGTGGCAGGTTTCGGAAAGGTACCTAATTAAGCAGTTAGTCAGTAGCGATGAACTTTTGCCCTCATTGATTGAGGCCTTATGTTGGCAATTTTCCCCAGCAAGTTGCATAAAGAGAAGGTTAAATACTGTCGACTTCTCCTAACCCCAGCAGAATTTACTGTCGGTCTGTAAATATCACACCAATTTCACCAAACTAACAGAACTAATGGGCTGTAAATGCTGAAAGTTTGCATTTGCCTGGTTGTTGTTGTTAAGTGCCTTCGAGTCGGTTCCGACCCATAGCGACCCTGTACAGGGTTTCCGAGGGTGTAAATCCTTACGGGAGTAGAAAGCCTCATCTTTCTCCCGCGGAGCGGCTGGTAGTTTCGAACCGCTGACCTTAAGGTTCGCAG